GAAACCAGGCTTGAGACCCCCAGGGTGGGGAGATGGAGGGCTAATTTAAGGCTCTGAGGCTGGATGAGGAGAAGGATTCAGGAGGAAGGAGGGTCCAGAGGGTTTTAGGCTCAGGAAAGGACCAGTCTGCTTGACATGGAAATGCCCTTTTAGTTTCAGGGAGAGGGACATGAGCACCTAAAACACAAAATAGCCTTGTACCAGTCACACTTATCCATCTGGGGCTCCCACCAACTCTGCAGAAACTAAAAGCTTTTTGGAGCACATACAGGGTTAAAAAGAAGACATCGCCCAAGTGATGGAAGTTGGAAGTTCACAAGAGCACATCTTGGAAGTTCACAAGAGCACTTCTAACTTTGCGAAAAATGAGATTAATCAGTGGAAGTAGGAACTTTTAAAGAAAAGCATCAGAACTTCTTTTCTTACAAACAAAGCTTGAACCTCTTAGCAATCACAACTCTGATTGCAAGGATCGTACTCAAGTGCCTGGAGAGTCTTTTACTGCCAAGAACCACGGCACTTCAGACAGAGGAATTACTCAGAATTCAGCTCTAAATCAACCCAGACAAAAGCCATAGACAGTTTTTAGGCTGAAGTCAGCATTGGGTTTTTTTGTTTCTTAGGGGAGAAAGTGATTTTTAAAGTATAAAATTAATTCACAGTCACTACAGAAAATCTGTGAGATACACAAAGGTATAGCAAATAAAACAAATATCCGTATTCCATAATCCAGCAATGGTTTACATCTTAAATGTTTTATTCAATTTTTCTTGTATTTTTCTCCATGTAAATCAGGATTATATTGAATAAAAAATTGTTTCTTGCCCTTTTCATTTACTATATCATGAACAATACTTCATTGCCTGAATTATTCCTTGAAGAGCACCTTTTTTAAAAAAATTTTTGCGCAGCTGGCTTGTACAGGGATCTGAACCCTTGATCTTGGTGTTACAACACTGCATTCTTACCAACTGAGCTAACCAGCCAGACCTAAGCCCACTTTTTAATGGTTCCATAAGATTACATTTTATGAACATACCATTATTTGTTTTAATCATTTTTTATTTGATAATCAATTGAGTTGTTTCAATTTTTCATCATTTTAGATAAGATTGCAGTAAACATCTATGGATATGATACATCTTTCTGATTATTTCCCTAAGAAGAATTCTTAGAATATTAAAATTTGAGGACTTCTCAATACTACTCTCAAATTATTCTTCAGAATTGTCACACTTCTTTATATTCACATTGACATTTTATGAGCATGCTTCTTTCATGAGTCATTAGCCAACACTGATCATTATCATTAAAAAAGAAGAGAGAAAACAAAAATCTTTGTCCATTCATTGGTTGAACAATGGGATCTGTTTTGCTTTGTATTTCTTTGATTATTAGTCGGACACTTCTTTATGTGTTTATCAAACGTTTTTATCCTATGGATTATCATTTTGTACTATTTATCTGTTTTGCATATTGAGGGTAAGCATCTTGTTTTAATTTTGATCCTGCTTTGGCATAGCAGGATCCAAAAGCATTCCTAAAAAGAAGCTCATGATGTTAAAAAGCCTTTTGGTTTATAGCTTCAAGCTTTCCAAGGATTCCATTGAGGCAAAATGTGAAGGACATGGGTGGCTCTTCCAGAGCAGAGTCTCTCAGAGTGTGGTTCACGAACCCCCACAGCAGGCTCAAGGGGTGGGGGGAGGAACATGTGTTTATATTCACCTTCCCAGACACACAATCTCCGGTAGCTGGATTCAAGAACCCAGATTTCTATAATATCCCTATGTGCTTCATATGCAGCCCAAATTTGACAACCACAATGACTACTGAGGCAAATGAACCTGATATTCCCATTCGCTCTGGAACAAGAGACAACCATACAATGAGCCAAAACTGAAGATGAAAGTTGAATGGGCTGTTGGGTCTTGCTGTACTCTGTTCTTTTGGCTTCTTCCCACTGTTTTTTAACTTGATTAATGCATTATCATCCATCCCCTCAGTCCCCCAAATTAAAAAATGTAGAGCCATCCTTGACCCCCTCCTCTTCCTTACACCCCTTATTTCTTCTCATGTATACAACTACTCGTTTTACCTACAAATGTCTTTAAATCTCTCCTTTTCTCTCTTTCTCACCACTTCTTGGTTTAGTCCCTTATGTCGACCAAAATTAAGGCTGTCAAGGCAGAAGTAATGTAAAGTTATTGGGAGCCAATTGTGAGGATTGACACAGAAAATGCCATCTGACAGAGTCAGTGAAGGGCTCCAAAGTTTATTACAAATAACAAACACTTTATAGACAGAAAAGACTGAAGAAAGCAGAAACAAAGAATAAAAAGCAAATTGCGAAAGGTTCAGAAAGAATTGGTACCGAGAGGAGAAATCAGGATAAATGGGGTTTATTGGCACAAGCAGTGCAGCAGAGGCATGGGTACAGAACCTAGCCTAACCCCACCAGGGGTTGGGCTTATATTTCTTCTTGGGGTGAGTTGCATTGTTCTGATTGGCCATAGCTCATGTTAACGAGGAGTTAAATGAAATATCCAATGGGAGTTGTTGAGGCCTTATGTTAATTAGGTGATTTGTAAGTTTGAGATTATTGGTTCCCTTAGTATGTAAAGTAGGGTTTCAGAGGAAACCAGTGGCATGGAGTTCTGTTGCAGTTATGAGTTCCTTTGTCTTTTTATTTTACCCAGAAGTCCTGTAGGGCATGAATCACCATTTTGAGTATCTTTGGGTGGTGCCATAGTGAGTGATCCTCCCCTGTGAGGAAAATAGAGTAGTCTAGTCAGGCCCCCTTGCCTCAGGTCCCATTGGGAGTGGTGCAGCACATTCTTTGTAAACAAGTTGTGTGTGGGTAGAGTTAGTGCACATGCGAGCCCATGTATCTTTTTAGTTTTGTTGCTATTGTGTGTTCTTGAGTGTGTGGAGCAGCAGCCCTGAACTGCTTGTTGGCAGAGAGCTTGTGTCTAAAAATAGAGCATGTTTACTTTGCTGGCAGCTGCTCAGTTTTTCTTTGGACTTTGCAGGTAGCAGTTGAGTTTCTGAGTTTCTCTTTGGACTGCATAGCTCTTAGATGTGTGTGTGTGCTGAATAAAGACTATTCTTTCTTCAACCAAGTCTCCAAGGACCTTTTTTCCAGTTACCTAGCTCAGAGACCTGCATGTGAAGGGTTTGTGACCCAGTCTGGACAAGGGGCTTGAGGGGTCTGTGAGCTCCAGACCCAGCGTAGCTCTACATCTCCAAACCTAATAAATTGGTCATTACAAAGTTATTTTCCTTGTAGGTGGTGACAAAACAATAGAAAAATAACTAATTAGTTAACATCAGGTTACTTCAGGCATCTCTTTTTATAAAAGAATTAAACTAGCCTGTTTGGGAAACTGGCTATCTCTTTCTCCTGACTTCTCAGAAGGTCAGATCATGATCTAAGTAATGTGGAACTTAGCAGGGGTGACTCCATTTTGGTTTTTAGTCTGGTCTGTCAGGGTCCAATGCAGGAACTTAGTCCAGAACAATGGATTCTGATAATTTTTATTTGTTATTACCTCCCTCTCTCCTTTCTCCTGTTTATTCTGCCCATAATCTCTATCTTCACCCCAAATTGTATCAGGTAAACATACATTGTAAGTAGTAATGTGTCTAGAAGCTTCTGCTTGCTATACAAAAGCTTCTAAATGAATATCCTCCCCATTGTCCCCCTTTCAATATTTTGCAGTCTCTTCCTTACTCTAGTGGAGCAGTGAGAGACTGGAAATTTTAGAGGGGTCCAAGGACTGGAGAGCACTAGGGAAGTTAAGACAAAATCAAGATGCATTAAAAAGTGAATGAGATGCAAGAGGCAGCTGTGGCCAAGTTCAAGATCCTGAAGGTCAAGCAGCTCTAAGTGACAACACGACTTAAGGTGTGGTCGTCAGGATGGGTTGCTGAAGCCTGTGAGAGGACAAGGGTATATGAGCCATCATGTGATTGAATGGATCATCTGCACAGACCCTGTAGTAGCTCAGATGCATGCTGTTATTTAGAGAGAGCCAGCAAGTCTGAACAGCTCAGGGTAACCTTTTTCTATTCCTGGAAAAACAACTTAAGAGCAAGGGACAAAGGGTTACTGTGTTGTTCCTTCCGCGTAAAAGGAAATAATAATTTTGATGGATTTGGTGGGACATTTAGGAGGCCACGTCAAACTGTGTGTGTAATTGTTTTATAAAGGTGCTAAGACTTAATTTGCAGATCTGGAATGAGAACAGGTGGTGGCTGGTGGCAGAAGTCACAATGGTTTCCATGACGACGGGATTGGGTCTTAGTCATTCTCCCATCCTCCACCAAACCTACTGCAGCTTTTCTCTTAAGGTGCTTATTAAACATTTGTTAAATGAATGATGAACCACAGAATGGTGTGTGTGCTTTGCAATTAAGTCTGCTGTTCTTAAGCTAGCGTTAAAACCTTTGAAAGCAACAGTAATTACTGTATTTACACGTGATATTTTGCATAATTTGCACATTAACATGAAAATAATAAACTATATACTCTCACTCCTGCTGAACAACCCTGACCCATACCGTATCCCCTTTTGCGGAAGAAGTAGCCCAGATGTTTGGAGAAAACGTCCTTTAAAGGAGAGAGTGGGGTGGGGGTGGGGTGGGGGTCCTGTGCCGTGTACGTGCGCCCACATTAGCTAAAACGCTTTTGTCCCCGCTCTCGAGCCCCTCCCCCACCTGGGCTTCGCGCAGGCGCCAGCCTTCCCCTCCCCCCGCGCGCCTCTTCCCGCGCTAACGCCAGTGCTGGCCGGGCTGGGGCTCAGAGCACAAAGGGCCTCGCTCGCCGGCGTCCGCGTTGCCCTTGGCAACCATTGAACGGAGTCTCGCTCTCCCTTGACCCTGGGATGAGAGAGTAAACGGGGCCGCCATTGGCTGGCCGGGGAAGACAGGCCAATCGGAGAAGAGGTTATAGGGAGGCGGCTGAGCGAGGTTGTGGGGGTAGGAAGCTAGGGGGTAGAGAAAACCCGTGAGGCTAGAACCCCGGGCGAGGTCGGTTGGAGCAAGTATGTCTGTCCGGAGGCACATTGGGAATCCTGAGGTGAGGGCCAGGTCCGGGCCGCAGAGCCGGAGGGGGCGGGCGCACCGGAAAAGTCTCCACGTGGGCACGGAAGAGCAGCCAGCGACTTCCGCCGGCCGGAAGGCGGGAAGCGGCGGGCGGGAGGAGGGGTCGGGGGCAGGGCCGGGCCGGGGGGCAGAGGCATCCCGTCCCTAGTGTGCACCTCCGCTGCGAGGAGCGAAGCACCTGGACACAGCCCCACCCTCAGAGGGCTTACAGTCTAGGAGTGACAGTGACTAAACATAAGTGAAACACAGAGGAAGCGCCCGACCCGAGGGAGCGCGGTGAAAGGGAGCCCACAAGTCTGAGCGTGGGGTGGGCATGCGGGAGGAGCCGGAAGGAGCACACCGAGCCCCTGGGAAGGCGGGCAAAGTTGGACATCGGTGGTTTACCCCTCTGCAAAGGACCTTTTCACTTTCTTCCTCTATTTCACCCCTAGTGTCCTGCTGCATTTGTGGCAATTTCATGTCAACAGATATTAGTGGATTCCTGTCGCGTAGTAAGTGCTAGACTAAGAGTCAGACAAGGCCTCTGCCCCTTTTTAAATAAGTTCAGTCAAGCGCGGGAGACATGTAAACAGTTTGGGTACAGTGTGGTCCAGGAGCAAGATGTTATGAGAGCGTAGCATGAGATGCTATGAGAGGAAAGATGGGACTCAACAGAGGGAGTGGGAGAAGGCTCCTGAAGAGGGAACAGCCCCGGACATGGCAAGGCCATTAGGCAGGTGAAGAAGCATCCCAGGTAGAGAGAGCAGCGTGTGAGCGAAGGTAAGGAGCGTGCGAGCTCTGAGCAGTTCCCTGCGGGAGTCTGCAGAGAGGCCAGAGTAAAGTTGGCGTAAAATCGTCAAGGGGCATGCGGGAGGAGCCGGAAGGAGCACACCGAGCCCCTGGGAAGGCGGGCAAAGTTAGACATCGGTGGTTTACCCCTCTGCAAAGGACCTTTTCACTTTCTTCCTCTTTCACCCCTAGTGTCCTGCTGCATTTGTGGCAATTTCATGTCAACAGATATTAGTGGATTNTTTCACCCCTAGTGTCCTGCTGCATTTGTGGCAATTTCATGTCAACAGATATTAGTGGATTCCTGTCGCGTAGTAAGTGCTAGACTAAGAGTCAGACAAGGCCTCTGCCCCTTTTTAAATAAGTTCAGTCAAGCGCGGGAGACATGTAAACAGTTTGGGTACAGTGTGGTCCAGGAGCAAGATGTTATGAGAGCGTAGCATGAGATGCTATGAGAGGAAAGATGGGACTCAACAGAGGGAGTGGGAGAAGGCTCCTGAAGAGGGAACAGCCCCGGACATGGCAAGGCCATTAGGCAGGTGAAGAAGCATCCCAGGTAGAGAGAGCAGCGTGTGAGCGAAGGTAAGGAGCGTGCGAACTCTGAGCAGTTCCCTGCGGGAGTCTGCAGAGAGGCCAGAGTAAAGTTGGCAGGGCCTTCTGTGCCTTGCTAAGGCTCTTAGCCTTTATACCAAACAGGAATTACAATTATTTCATCTGTTGACCTGAAATGAAACTAAAGCCAAATACGTGTAACAAGGATTTATTGAGCCAATATGGCGATTGCAACCCGGGAGACACATGGATTAGGCAGCCCTAAAAGTGTTCCGAAAAATGCAAGCAAAGCTTAGCATTTTGTAATCCCAAGAAGGGGAAGAAATCAAAGGGAAGTGGTAGAAGGATAGTCCTAATCTTTATGACTTTCTGGCGCCATCATGTCTGTTACTGAGTCAAATGGTTTTGTGATAACACATCTCTTGGGGAATTCCTGGTGCTATGTTGAGAAAGTTGTAAGGCTGAGTCTAGGCTTACAGGCTGAGAGTGCCATGATCAATTAGTAATGTCCAAATACCTCATGATCTCACTTGTACGTGGAATCTAAAGAAGTCCAACTCATAGAAGTAGAGAGTAGCTCATAGAAGTAGAGAGTAGAATGGTGGTTTCCAGAGGCTGGGGTGGGGAGGTTGAAAGGTACAAAATTTCAGCCTGGAGGAACAAGTTTTTGAAATGGACTGCACAGCAGGGTGACTATAATTAATAATAATGTATAGTATGTTTCAAAATAGCTAAGAGTAAGTTTCAAGTGTCTCACCACAAAAAATGATAAGTGAGGTGATGGCTATGTTAATTAGCTTGATTTAATTATTCCATATTTTGTATGTGTGTGTATATATATCAAAACACCACATTGTACTGCATAAATGTAAACAATTATGATTTGTCAATTAAAAATAGTATTAATGAAAATGTTAGTGATGTCTATCACGGGAGTGGCAGAGGTAGATATGGAGAATGGCAGTTTGCCACATATTTATCTTGCCTGCTGGTCAGAATTTGAGAAGTTTTGAAGGGTTTTAGTAAGAAAGTGACATGGTCAGATTTACATTTTATGTGAATGGCTGGCACCACATTGCGGAGGACGGATTTGAGGAGGCCAGGACTGGAGATAGGAAGATTGGTTAGGTGGTTATTTTGGTACAGACCTAAAGCAAGGCTGTGGAACTAAGAACAGAACTGAGGAGAAATATTTGGGGGGTAAAATCGTCAAGACTCCATGATTAGCTTTGAGAGAAGAGAGTGAGATGGAGGACTTAGGTTCCCTGCTTGGACTACTCACTGCTGCTGGTGCCATTAAGGAGATCAAGAATATGGGAGAAGGAGAATGATTGTACAAGAAGAGCAGCAGGGATGCCCTGTGTGGTTATACGTATGTGCCCTAGGCAGAGATGCCAGCTTACTCTCATGTTACAACTTCCAGTAGTTTCTTCAGAGTGCATAAGAGATATCAAAAGGACAAAATTAGAACAGGTTTAGTTGTGATTCTAAAATCAAGCAAGATGTCGTTCCATAAAATAGAATAAATGTTCCAATGAACTGAGCAGAGGAAGTTAGTTTTATAGACAGAAAAGGCTAGGCTGGCCAGTTAGCTCAGTTGGTTAGAGTGTGGTGTTGATAAACATTAAGGTCAAGGGCTCCATCCGTCCCTATACTGATCCCTGTACTGACCAGCTGCCACTCCTTGCACCTCTCCCCTACCCTGCCCAAGGCTGAAGAAAGCAGAAACAAAGAACAAAAAAGCAGATTGGATATTTCAAAATTGTTTTCCTTGGAAGGCGGGAACAGAGAGAGAAATAGAAAAATAACTGATTATTTAACATCAGGTTACTTCAGGCTATCCTTTCTCTGTAAGGATTAAAGCAGAAGGAATTTTATTATCATACCTATTGAAGATTTAAACTGGCCTTTTCAGGAAATTGGCTGTTATTTCTTTCTCTTGATTTCTCAAAAGGTCAGACCACAACATAAGTGATGTGGAACTTAGCAGGGGTGATTCCATTTTGATTTTTAGTCTGGGCTGTTGGAGCTTAGTGCTGGAACTTATTCCAAAACAGTGGCCTCCTATAACTTTTCTTTAACAGAAATAGATATTTTTTTATTTATGTATAAAAGGTTAGGCATGTCTAAAAAATGTTATTATTCTATCTTCACATTTATTTGCCTGAGAATTTGGCTAGGTGTAGAATTCTTGGTTGGAAGTCACAGCATTTTGAAAACATTGTTCTGTAGCCTTTTAACATCCAGTATTGCTGTAGAGAAATCCAAAGCCATTCTTTTGCTTTGTGACCTGTTTTTTCTCTCGGGAAGCTTATAGAATCTGCTCTTTGCCCCAGTGTTGTGCATTTCACAAAGATATTCCTTACTATGATCTGTTTTCACTTATTTTAATGGGTACCAGAACTCGTGTCTTTCTATTCTGTAAAATTTTCTTGAAATATTTTGTTGTTAACTTTCTTATTCCCATTTTCTCCATCCTCTCATTCTTGAATTCATTGTTCCAATGTTGCACCTATGCAACTGGTTCTCTAGTTTCTTAGCTTTTATCTCTTGTTTTCCTCATCTTTGTGTTTTTGTGCTCTTTGGAAGATTTAACCTTATCTTCCGGTTCTATTGAGTGTTTAACTTCTGCCATCATGTTTTTAATTTTTAAGAGCTCTGTTCTGTACTCTGATGTCCCTTTTTAAAACTTTTCATTTTGATATAAAGATTCACAGGAAGCTGCAAAAATAGTATAAAGAGGTCTTATGTACCTTTCACCCAGTTTCCCCCAATGATTTTATTTTACATAACTATAGTACAATATCAAAACTAGAAAATTGAGGTTTGTTTGCATAGTTCTAGGCTATTTTATCACATGCGTAGATTTTATATAATCAAGACTTACACATATGTAGGTTTGCAATCAAGGTAAAGAGCTGTTTCATTACCACAAATGTTTCCCTCATGCTGTTCCTCCTGGTCGTAACCACTTTGATTCCTCTCCTCATCCTAACCCCAGGCAAGCACAAGTGTGTTCTCCATCTCTATAGTCTTGTCATTTTGAGAGTGTTACATAAATGGAATCATAAAGTATGGGACCTTTTGAGACTGGCATTTTTTCACTCAGAATAATGTCCTTGAGACACAATCAAGTTGTTGCACATAGCAATAGTTCATTCCTTATTGCTGCTTAGTATTATATGGTGCAAATGTACAACAGTTTGCTTAACCATTCAGCTAGTGTAGGACATTTGCTTTCTTTTCAGTTTTGGGCTATTACAAGAAAGATATGAATATTTGGGTACAGCTCTTTGTGTGGACTTTAATTTTCATTTCTCTAGGATAGACACCCAGAAGTGCAATTACTGGGTTGGATGGTAAGAGTATGTTTAGTTTTATTAGAAACTGCCAAACTATTTTCCAGAGAGGCTGTAC